CCCGGCGGCTTCACCGCCCTGGTGTCACGCCGCTGCAGGACCGGGTCTGTTATGGTCACGTCCGTGACCCACGTTTCAGCTGACTCCCTGTCCTTGAAGGCCAGGTCCGCTCGCTTGGGGTTGACTGGTTGCGAGTAGGTCGTGGTCTCATGCAAGGTCATGTAGTCGGCCTCCCTCGCCATGCGCAGCGCTGCATAGACGAGTGTGTTATGTGTGTTTGTCCGGTCCTTCCCCTCCCCACACCGCAGTAGGTGGTTCGGCAGGCTCAAATCCCCTATCTTCCCCCTCTCCCCCTGACACGGGCAGCTGTTGGTCACTGGTAGGGTCAGGCCCAACCGGAAGCCTAGCGCCAGGGCGTATTGCCCTGGTGAGAAGGTGAGATCTGCCCGCGTTGGGATGGCGTGAAGCCAGTCCCCCGCCCCCACTCCCTGTAGGCTGATGAGCCCCACCACGTGACCATTGTCCTCCCCCGGTTTATCCATCCTCGTATCCCCCACCAACTCCGCCGCCCTTGTGAGGTTGATCTGCTGGGACAGTGCCTCCTGTAGATGGCCCTTCCCCCCCTTCCTCCCCATCGGTTCTTCTAGAATCTCCTGCGCCCGCCTCAGGAGTCGGTTCCACATATCCCTCACTGTTGCTCCTCTCCCACCCGCCCCTCCATCTCCTCGTGGCGACACCAGCGATTCCACCTGCCGTAGTTGCTCGTTGGGCGAGTGCGGTATTTGTTGTAGCAACAGCTGCGCCGCTCTCAGTGACGCCAGGTGTGCCGCTGGCGCCTCCGAGAGGGGGTCGATCAGGCCCAAACCTCCCAGCGCAATAGGCAGTGTTGCCTGCCTCCACACCAGGCTTTGCTCCAGCTCCTTGGACGGCACATGTAAGTGAGCCGCCCTTAGAGCCGTCCACAGTAGCCGTTCGCTCCACCCACGCCACTCAGCTAATGGTAGCACGTCCGCCGGTGTTGTGCGCAGGAGGTAGGAGATCCTGCGCGAAACGCATCTGGACAGCAACAGCATTGCATGTTGCGGGTGCAGCTTGCCGATCAGCCGTAGTGGTAGTGCTATCCGCTCCAGAGTTTCCCTGATCTTCCGTCTGCAGTAAGCCGTGGTGCCAATCGGGCTTCCCAGGACCTGCACCCCATCCACCGCTGCTGCCAGCCCTTCCGGTAGGTCACCCGTGTGCCCTGCGGGGCACCATGCCGAGGATTTGACTAAGTTGCACCGTAAGCCGACTCCCCTGAGCTCGTGTGTGATCTTGTTGAACGCCCGAGTTGCCGCCGCCGGGGGTCCGACGATGGTAATGTCGTCGGCGTACGCCATCACCGTCGCTTCTGGTGTCTCCACCGCGGCCGCCAGCAAAGCCGGTTGTATTTCTAGCGTGAAGAGCGTGGGGCCGAGCGGGTCTCCTTGGCGGACCCCCCGCGTGCTCTCGATGCAGCTGACGCCGAAGCCCTCGTCTAGCAGCAGAGCCGATGGGGCGGCATAAAGCGTTCGCGCGAGGGGGAGAAGGGAGATCAGGCTTGTGAAGCGCAGTGAGTCTAATGGTCCGTATATTGATAGGGCAGAAAGGTACACACATACAGGTTCAGAATCATGCAATTTCAGCCTAATCCTTCTACAGTTCCACCAGTGGCTCCAAAACAGCAAAACAATCCCCTAGGTGTAGTTCATGGCCAATACCCCCTACCGGGGGGTTCTCAGCTGCTGCCGCCTCACCCAATTTCATGAGGAGGCCCACCGACTGTGCTCTCTGAAGAGCAACTGACCACCGCTGCCTGAACTGATGCAGAAACTTAGCGGCATGATAGGAGTTAGAATCGGCGTTGAAGTGGCGCCGAGCCGTTGTATCTGCCAGGAGTTTAACGAAGACGGGGACCTCTGCACATGGGCAGCCGTAGGTCTCCACCGCAAGTGGAAAGAAGCCGACTGTCTCAGGTCTGTTCGCATAGTGCTGAATCTTTTTGTCTGCCTGCTCCCGGGCCGCCCATCCCCTGCCTTTCTGTGCCTGTGGGTCCCGAGTACTGATGGGGTCCGTCACGGTCACGTCGCATACCCAAACCGCCCCACTGCTCCTATCGGTCATGGTGAAATCGGCCGTCTGCTCCTCGATGGGGCAGTGGGCGGCCGACTCGCTGTGGACTATGAAACCCGCGTCCTGCGCCATACTAATGCAAGCATCCCGGAGCTCGTTGTGGGTGTTGATGCGATGCTTGCCAGTGCCGCAGCGTAGGAGGTGGTTTGGGAGGCGGGGGTCCAGGATTTCGGTGTGATCCGAGCAGTCACAGTTTTTGGGGGTGGAGAAGGGCAACCCAAGCCTGAATCTGACGGCATTGGCAAAGTGTACCGGTCCTATGCGCCTCGTCGCTTCTATAGGAATTGCCGTCAGCCAGTCCCCCGTGCCATAGCCCGTTAGAGAGAACATCCGCTGCGTATGGCCCGCCAGCGGATTCAGCTCCATGTCTCTCGTCGCCTGAACTTGTACAGCGTAGCGGCTACCGTGGACCTGTAGGGCAAGGGCATGCTGTAGCTTGACATCCGTCCGCTTACTTCGTTCCCGTTCCAGCAGCTCTCGCGCATCAGATGGCAGGGCAGTCTCGCACTCGGCGAGCCAGGAGTGAAGCGGTGTGCTCTCGTTCCTAGGCTGGAGCATATGGTAGCGCGCGTGAGATAGTGCGGAGTCCGTGTCTAGCACGAGCGCGGAGAAGAGCAGAGCCGCCTGTGTGAAGCTCGCGACGAAACCGTAAACTCCCTCAACGAGGGGGTCTGTAATGCCTATTCCACCAAGCGAGGGGGGCAGGGACGCTTGCGCCCAGACGCGTGACTGTTCTGCTCTGCCCGCCGGTGCGCGAATGTTGCACGAGGTAAGGAGTGCTAAGAGGAGGTCACGGCCCCACTCAGTCCATGTATCCCGGGAGACGAGGTTAAGTGGAGTTGTTCGGGTGAGATACGCCACGCGCCGAGAGATGCAGCACGTGATCAGCAGCGAGGCAACTTGAGGATCGGCCCGCTCGATGAGTGGTAACGGTTTCGCCAGGTCCCTCAGCTGCCCTGCCAAGAACGCAGCTGCCCCGTCGGCTGCCCCCAGAAAACGCCCAAGCAGACGGACGCCGTCCGTGCAGAACGGCACCCCTGGAGGCAGCCCAGTGGAGTCGCACGTGGCAGCGCTCCATGCCGTGCACTTCTGCGGATTGTGTCTCAAGCCCAGTGATTCCAACTTCGTGGTGAAGTGGTTGAAGGCAGCTACAGTTGCACGTTGTTCACCCACGAATGTCACGTCGTCTGCATAAGCCAAACAAAGCACCCCAGGGAATGCTGCTGCAGTGTCGCGAAGTGTGGGGTGGATTCCCGCCGCAAACAGAAGTGGGCCCAGTGGATCGCCCTGGCGAACGCCCCGTTCACTACGCAGGGGCTCGCTCGCAAAGTTCGAATCCAGATAGAGCCGAGATGGGTTACCGTAGGTCAGGCGAACCAGTGGGAGTAGAGGCGATAGAGTTGGCTCTTGTAACGCTGCTGCGATGGATTGTCGCGAAATGCTGTTGAAAGCATTCGCGATGTCGGTCTGTAGTACCAGGCTGTTCGGGTGGCCATCCACATATGTTCGGGCGGCATGAATTATCGCTTCCGCCCCACCTGGCACCGCCACTCCGTACTGTAGGGGTAGGAAGTGATCACGTGCAGCTTCGCCCATGACCAACAGCGCAGCCTTGGCAGCCAAACGCGTCAGACATTCGCCGATTGCGATTGGTCGGGCACCTCCTCCAGGCTTGGCCAGGGCAATGAGTCGAGATGCTGTCAGCAGGTCCGCCACCGAGGCTGGGAGGTTTCCCCCTAGAATTGTGTTTACCAAGGCGTGCAGATGGGTGCAGACGGATGCATTGGTTACGGCCGCGTCGCGAAGATGCTCAAATGTGGTCCCTGAGGGTCCGGCCCCCACACCATTATCGCATCGCCCAAGGAGTTTCGCAAATTCAGCGTGGGAAATGCCCAGGGGTCGGGTGTCGGTCTGTTGCCAAGTCAGCGACTCTGGCCCTGCTGGCGGGTGTTTCTAGCGAAGATCAGCCAGAATTTCTGGACTCGGCGTGCAGACGGGTGTTGACTCGAGCGCCAGCACGGCTCGGCGCAGACTGCCACGTTTTGCCAATCCCTCCGCTCGACTCAATACACCTGTCACGTCGGGTTGGTGACGCGGGGGCGGAGGGGAGTTGACCGCGTTTACTGCCTCCTGGTAGAGCTGCGTCCACTCGCCACGCTGGAAGGCCCGTAGCCGGGCCTTGATTTGTGGCCAGTTCGGGTGCTTTGGCGAAGCTTGGCGAAGTGTTAGACGCGGGAGGAAGAGGAGCAGTCGCCAGCCAGCCTCGGAATCAGGGTTTCGCGAGAGGTGGTGTAGGGGTGTCAGGAGTGCCAGCGAAAATAGCTGGCACAAATTTGGCGGTAATCGCCTTGACAGGGGCGGTTGTCGACTGTCGCAGAGGGCGGAAATATCCCAGTTCGCGATGTCAGCGAACATCTCGCTCCTCTCTGCCAGCTCCTCTGGCGAAAAATAGCGGGGCAACTGCGGTGTCGCGACTGACGAGTGGTTGGGTAATGCGGTCCGATTTCTTCGTGCGCGGCTCGATCTCGCTGACTGCTGCCGCGATGGGTTCACGTCCGTTCGATCAGCCGCCGACGGCCCCGATTGCCCGTGCGTTTCTGCCGTGGCTAAATTGGCTGCACCTGGTCCTCTTCTCCCCGGTCCTTCCCTTGTTATCTCAGCACCAACTCCCTCCTCGTTTTCACTCTATGGCTCCACTTCCACGCTATAAGAGGGGTCATTTCTTTCCTCGACTTCATTAGCTGCCACCAGTGATATTAAAGCCCTTCGCCCTGCCGCCTGATACCCGTTCTCCGGTCCTCCGCCTGCTCCGCTAACCACCTGGCTCCTCTCTTCTCGAGCCTCCCGTCCACGCGATGGTGATTGCTGGTGCGCCTGAGCCGACGCTAGAGCTCGTTGCCTCCTGGTCGGCAATGGTCTCCAGGCCTCCGTCTGAGCCCGAAAGGGCGACCACGGCGACGAAGCCCCCTCTGCCTCCGGCTCCGAAGCCCTCGACAACAACCTCTGAAAAGGTTCCTCCCCCCGGACCCGAAGCTCTCCTTGTCGCGGATGCGCCTGGTTCAACGGCGACTGTTATCGCTCCGGCTCCTGCACCTCCCGCTGCTGTTCCCTCCGCCCAGCCAGTGCCGGCTGAACCCCAGGCTGAGCCTCAGGCGTCCCCTGCTGCACCAGCGGTGTGTGTCGCCAACCCCTCGGCTCCCTTGCCTGCGGGGCTTGTTGTCGCGCCTGAGTTGCCGACTCCTGCCTCTGCCTCGTCCCCGCAGGCGGCGTCCGCCACCACTGGCGGCCCTGCCCCGTTGGTTGCGCCGCCGGTTGGTGGACCGGCTGCACCTGCTGTGCCACCGACTGCTCCTGTGGTGCAGATGTCTCGCCCGCCGTCACCTGGCCGCCGCCCATCTCGCCCTCATTCTCCCGCTCCCCAGCAGGATCGTCAGTCCTCCCGGCGTCGGCGCAATTCTCCACGTCGGCCGCATCAGCAAGCCCAGTGGCACGCGAACCGCGGCGGCCACGGTGGCTGGTGGGGTCCCCGCGGCCGCGGTGGTGGTGGGGCGTACGATCCGCCGGTGAGGATGGCGGATCTGCAGCGGGCGGTGTTAACTGCGGTGCGTGAGGAGAGGGCCGCCCTGACCCAAGGCAGCTCTCACGCTGTCGTGGCACGTACTGCTCCCCAACAGGCTGTTCTTCCGGTGGATCAGCCGCCTGCCGCTCCCGTCCCGCATCAGAATACTGCCCCGTCGCCTCCCGCTGCCTCTGCCTCTGCTCCTGTTCCTGGCTCTCGGCTTCGCCTCCCGCCCGTTCCGCCTGTGGCGGGAGTTGAATTTGTGGCGGCGGGGGGCGGGTCGCAGTATCCCCATCCCGGGGTTGGCGGTTCTGCAACTCTTGCCCTCGAGGAGCCGTTTCAATTTCTGGCGCAGGCATTACAGCCTCCGCAGTCCCGCATTCCAGAGGCCACTCTCGCCCAGCTCTTCCGCCTCGCGGAGAGCTTTCATGCTCTGCTCCTGATACAGGTTCTCGCGCATTCGTCACTTCCCGCTGTTCCCCCCGAGACGTTCCAGGATCGCCACCACGATTCGTGCCTGGATGCAGCCGACCAGCTCGCAGTGCTGCTGGCGCCCGTGCTGGCTGCGCCCGTAGAGGGTGGAGTTGCGGCTGCTGGGCAGCTCGATGAGGCTGTACGCAGCCTGAGGCGCCATTTGCGTGCAGGTTCTGGAGCCGCCGCGATCGGCGCAAGCACGCTTGTGGTCTGGGAGCTGCGGCGCTCCCTGACGTGCTCTCTCTCTCTCTCTCTCTCTCTCTCTCTCTCTCTCTCTCTCTCTCTCTCTCTCTCTCTCTCTCTCTCTCTCTCTAATGGTCCGTATATTGATAGGGCAGAAAGGTACACACATATAGGTTCAGAATCATGCAATTTCAGCCTAATCCTTCTACAGTTCCACCAGTGGCTCCAAAACAGCGAAACAATCCCCTAGGTGTAGTTCATGGCCAATACCCCCTACCGGGGGGTTCTCAGCTGCTGCCGCCTCACCCAATTTCATGAGGAGGCCCACCGACTGTGCTCTCTGAAGAGCAACTGACCACCGCTGCCTGAACTGATGCAGAAACTTAGCGGCATGATAGGAGTTAGAATCGGCGTTGAAGTGGCGCCGAGCCGCTGTGTCTGCCAGGAGTTTAAGGAAGACGGGGACCTCTGCACATGGGCAGCCGTAGGTCTCCACCGCCAGTGGAAAGAAGCCGACTGTCTCAGGTCTGTTCGCATAGTGCTGAATCTTTTTGTCGGCCTGCTCCCGGGCCGCCCATCCCCTGCCTTTCTGTGCCTGTGGGTCCCGAGTACTGATGGGGTCCGTCACGGTCACGTCGCATACCCAAACCGCCCCACTGCTCCTATCGGTCATGGTGAAATCGGCCGTCTGCTCCTCGATGGGGCAGTGGGCAGCCGACTCGCTGTGGACTATGAAACCCGCGTCCTGCGCCATACTAATGCAAGCATCCCGGAGCTCGTTGTGGGTGTTGATGCGATGCTTGCCGGTGCCGCAGCGTAGGAGGTGGTTTGGGAGGCGGGGGTCCAGGATTTCGGTGTGATCCGAGCAGTCACAGTTTTTGGGGGTGGAGAAGGGCAACCCAAGCCTGAATCTGACGGCATTGGCAAAGTGTACCGGCCCTATGTGCCTCGTTGCTTCTATAGGAATTGCCGTCAGCCAGTCCCCCGTGCCATAGCCCGTTAGCGAGAACATCCGCTGCGTATGGCCCGCCAGCGGATTCAGCTCCATGTCTCTCGTCGCCTGAACTTGTACAGCGTAGCGGCTACCGTGGACCTGTAGGGCAAGGGCATGCTGTAGCTTGACATCCGTCCGCTTACTTCGTTCCCGTTCCAGCAGCTCTCGCGCATCCGATGGCAGGGCAGTCTCGCACTCGGCGAGCCAGGAGTGAAGCGGTGTGCTCTCGTTCCTAGGCTGGAGCATATGGTAGCGCGCGTGAGATAGTGCGGAGTCCGTGTCTAGCACGAGCGCGGAGAAGAGCAGAGCCGCCTGTGTGAAGCTCGCGACGAAACCGTAAACTCCCTCAACGAGGGGGTCTGTAATGCCTATTCCACCAAGCGAGGGGGGCAGGGACGCTTGCGCCCAGACGCGTGACTGTTCTGCTCTGCCCGCCGGTGCGCGAATGTTGCACGAGGTAAGGAGTGCTAAGAGGAGGTCACGGCCCCACTCAGTCCATGTATCCCGGGAGACGAGGTTAAGTGGAGTTGTTCGGGTGAGATACGCCACGCGCCGAGAGATGCAGCACGTGATCAGCAGCGAGGCAACTTGAGGATCGGCCCGCTCGATGAGTGGTAACGGTTTCGCCAGGTCCCTCAGCTGCCCTGCCAAGAACGCAGCTGCCCCGTCGGCTGCCCCCAGAAAACGCCCAAGCAGACGGACGCCGTCCGTGCAGAACGGCACCCCTGGAGGCAGCCCAGTGGAGTCGCACGTGGCAGCGCTCCATGCCGTGCACTTCTGCGGATTGTGTTTCAAGCCCAGTGATTCCAACTTCGTGGTGAAGTGGTTGAAGGCAGCTACAGTTGCACGTTGTTCACCCACGAATGTCACGTCGTCTGCATAAGCCAAACAAAGCACCCCAGGGAATGCTGCTGCAGTGTCGCGAAGTGTGGGGTGGATTCCCGCCGCAAACAGAAGTGGGCCCAGTGGATCGCCCTGGCGAACGCCCCGTTCACTACGCAGGGGCTCGCTCGCAAAGTTCGAATCCAGATAGAGCCGAGATGGGTTACCGTAGGTCAGGCGAACCAGTGGGAGTAGAGGCGATAGAGTTGGCTCTTGTAACGCTGCTGCGATGGATTGTCGCGAAATGCTGTTGAAAGCATTCGCGATGTCGGTCTGTAGTACCAGGCTGTTCGGGTGGCCATCCACATATGTTCGGGCGGCATGAATTATCGCTTCCGCCCCACCTGGCACCGCCACTCCGTACTGTAGGGGTAGGAAGTGATCACGTGCAGCTTCGCCCATGACCAACAGCGCAGCCTTGGCAGCCAAACGCGTCAGACATTCGCCGATTGCGATTGGTCGGGCACCTCCTCCAGGCTTGGCCAGGGCAATGAGTCGAGATGCTGTCAGCAGGTCCGCCACCGAGGCTGGGAGGTTTCCCCCTAGAATTGTGTTTACCAAGGCGTGCAGATGGGTGCAGACGGATGCATTGGTTACGGCCGCGTCGCGAAGATGCTCAAATGTGGTCCCTGAGGGTCCGGCCCCCACACCATTATCGCATCGCCCAAGGAGTTTCGCAAATTCAGCGTGGGAAATGCCCAGGGGTCGGGTGTCGGTCTGTTGCCAAGTCAGCGACTCTGGCCCTGCTGGCGGGTGTTTCTAGCGAAGATCAGCCAGAATTTCTGGACTCGGCGTGCAGACGGGTGTTGACTCGAGCGCCAGCACGGCTCGGCGCAGACTGCCACGTTTTGCCAATCCCTCCGCTCGACTCAATACACCTGTCACGTCGGGTTGGTGACGCGGGGGCGGAGGGGAGTTGACCGCGTTTACTGCCTCCTGGTAGAGCTGCGTCCACTCGCCACGCTGGAAGGCCCGTAGCCGGGCCTTGATTTGTGGCCAGTTCGGGTGCTTTGGCGAAGCTTGGCGAAGTGTTAGACGCGGGAGGAAGAGGAGCAGTCGCCAGCCAGCCTCGGAATCAGGGTTTCGCGAGAGGTGGTGTAGGGGTGTCAGGAGTGCCAGCGAAAATAGCTGGCACAAATTTGGCGGTAATCGCCTTGACAGGGGCGGTTGTCGACTGTCGCAGAGGGCGGAAATATCCCAGTTCGCGATGTCAGCGAACATCTCGCTCCTCTCTGCCAGCTCCTCTGGCGAAAAATAGCGGGGCAACTGCGGTGTCGCGACTGACGAGTGGTTGGGTAATGCGGTCCGATTTCTTTGTGCGCGGCTCGATCTCGCTGACTGCTGCCGCGATGGGTTCACGTCCGTTCGATCAGCCGCCGACGGCCCCGATTGCCCGTGCGTTTCTGCCGTGGCTAAATTGGCTGCACCTGGTCCTCTTCTTCCCGGTCCTTCCCTTGTTATCTCAGCACCAACTCCCTCCTCGTTTTCACTCTCTGGCTCCACTTCCACGCTATAAGAGGGGTCATTTCTTTCCTCGACTTCATTAGCTGCCACCAGTGATATTAAAGCCCTTCGCCCTGCCGCCTGATACCCGTTCTCCGGTCCTCCGCCTGCTCCGCTAACCACCTGGCTCCTCTCTTCTCGAGCCTCCCGTCCACGCGATGGTGATTGCTGGTGCGCCTGAGCCGACGCTAGAGCTCGTTGCCTCCTGGTCGGCAATGGTCTCCAGGCCTCCGTCTGAGCCCGAAAGGGCGACCACGGCGACGAAGCCCCCTCTGCCTCCGGCTCCGAAGCCCTCGACAACAACCTCTGAAAAGGTTCCTCCCCCCGGACCCGAAGCTCTCCTTGTCGCGGATGCGCCTGGTTCAACGGCGACTGTTGTCGCTCCGGCTCCTGCACCTCCCGCTGCTGTTCCCTCCGCCCAGCCAGTGCCGGCTGAACCCCAGGCTGAGCCTCAGGCGTCCCCTGCTGCACCAGCGGTGTCTGTCGCCGACCCCTCGGCTCCCTTGCCTGCGGGGCTTGTTGTCGCGCCTGAGTTGCCGACTCCTGCCTCTGCCTCGTCCCCGCAGGCGGCGTCCGCCACCACTGGCGGCCCTGCCCCGTTGGTTGCGCCGCCGGTTGGTGGACCGGCTGCACCTGCTGTGCCACCGACTGCTCCTGTGGTGCAGATGTCACGCCCGCCGTCACCTGGCCGCCGCCCATCTCGCCCTCATTCTCCCGCTCCCCAGCAGGATCGTCAGTCCTCCCGGCGTCGGCGCAATTCTCCACTTCGGCCGCATCAGCAAGCCCAGTGGCACGCGAACCGTGGCGGCCACGGTGGCTGGTGGGGTCCCCGCGGCCGCGGTGGTGGTGGGGCGTACGATCCGCCGGTGAGGATGGCGGATCTGCAGCGGGCGGTGTCAACTGCGGTGCGTGAGGAGAGGGCCGCCCTGACCCAAGGCAGCTCTCACGCTGTCGTGGCACGTACTGCTCCCCGACAGGCTGTTCTTCCAGTGGATCAGCCGCCTGCCGCTCCCGTCCCGCATCAGAATACTGCCCCGTCGCCTCCCGCTGCCTCTGCCTCTGCTCCTGTTCCTGGCTCTCGGCTTCGCCTCCCGCCCGTTCCGCCTGTGGCGGGAGTTGAATTTGTGGCGGCGGGGGGGGGGTCGCAGTATCCCCATCCCGGGGTTGGCGGTTCTGCAACTCCCGCCCTCGAGGAGCCGTTTCAATTTCTGGCGCAGGCATTACAGCCTCCGCAGTCCCGCGTTCCAGAGGCCACTCTCGCCCAGCTCTTTCGCCTCGCGGAGAGCTTTCATGCTCTGCTTCTGATACAGGTTCTCGCGCATTCGTCACTTCCCGCTGTTCCCCCCGAGACGTTCCAGGATCGCCACCGCGATTCGTGCCTGGATGCAGCCGACCAGCTCGCAGTGCTGCTGGCGCCCGTGCTGGCTGCGCCCGTAGAGGGTGGAGTTGCGGCTGCTGGGCAGCTCGATGAGGCTGTACGCAGCCTGAGGCGCCATTTGCGTGCAGGTTCTGGAGCCGCCGCGATCGGCGCAAGCACGCTTGTGGTCCGGGAGCTGTGGCGCTCCCTGACGGGCGTTCTTCACGCCCTTGGAGCTCACCGCATGTAGGCGCGGGCTCCGGTTGCACCTTTGATGCCATGCCTGTCTAGGTGCTTGTTGAAACCGTCATTGTGTGTATGTCCTTGCTTAGTATCTTTTGCGTGTGTTTGATCTTGCCGCCCCTCACGCGCGGCCGAAGGCCGCGCTGTCGAGCGTCGGCCGCCGAAGGCGGCCGGCGCGAGCCGCTCGGTTAGGAGAGCACACGAACACTGAAATGAATAATGAGGCTCTAGGACTAGTTCCTAGGGCCTTTATACTAGGCTGGAGAGGGCTGGAGAGGCTAAGGACTAAGCCTCTCTCTCTCTCTCTCTCCTCTCTCTCCCGCTCGGTTAGGAGAGCACACGAACACTGAAATGAATAATGAGGCTCTAGGACTAGTTCCTAGGGCCTTTATACTAGGCTGGAGAGGGCTGGAGAGGTTAAGGACTAAGCCTCTCTCTCTCTCTCTCCTCTCTCTCCCGCTCGGTTAGGAGAGCACACGAACACTGAAATGAATAATGAGGCTCTAGGACTAGATCCTAGGGCCTTTATACTAGGCTGGAGAGGGCTAGAGAGGCTAAGGACTAAGCCTCTCTCTCTCTCTCTCTCTCTCTCTCTCTCTCTCTCTCTCTCTCTCTCTCTCTCTCTCTCTAATGGTCCTTGTATTGATAGAGTTGCAAAGTACATGCATGCAGGTGTTTGGGATTCTAGAACAAAACAGAAACCACAACACAACACTACCTACTCATTTCCTTCTCTAGAGCTCTAGGTAGGGCTCAACCACCGCAAAACAGTCCCCGGGGTGAAGCTCCTGACCGATACCTCCTACGGGCGGGTTCTCTGCTGCTGCCGCCTCGCCCAACTTGAGAAGGAGACCAACCGATTGGGCCCTCTGAAGGGCCACTGACCAGCGCTGCCGAAATAGGTGCAAAAACTTGGCGGCGTAAAAGGATTTTGAGTCGGCGTTGAAATGCCGCCGAGCCGCAGTATCCGCGAGAAGTTTTAGGAAGACCGGGACTTCCGCGCATGGACAGCCATAGGTGTCTACCGCTAGTGGGAAAAAACCCACTGTCTCTGGCCGGTTGGCATAGTGCTTGATTTTCTTATCAGCCTGTTCCCGAGCCGCCCAGCCCCTGCCTTTCTCTGCCTCCCGGTCCCTCGTGCTGATAGGGTCAGTGACGGTGACGTCACACACGTAAACCGCCCCACTGCTTCTATCCGTCATGGTGAAATCTGCGGTTTGTTCCTCGATGGGGCAGAAAACAGCCGACTCGCTGTGAACGATGAAACCCGCGTGCTGCGCCATGCTAATGCACGCATCCCGCAGCTCATTGTGGGTGTTAATGCGATGCTTGCCCGTGCCGCAGCGGAGGAGATGGTTCGGGAGGCGGGGATCTGTGATAGCTGTTTGTTCTGCGCAGTCACAGTTCTTAGGCGTGGAAAAGGGGAGGCCCAGCCGAAACCGCACGGCGTTCGCGAAGTGCACAGGGCCTATTCGTCCAGTGGCCTCGATTGGGATCGCAGTCAGCCAGTCCCCGGTGCCGTACCCAGTCAGCGAGAACATCCGCTGCGTATGGCCCGAGAGAGGGTTCGGTTGCATGTGCCTAGTTGCCTGGACCTGCGCTGAGTATCTGCTCCCATGCACCTTCAAGCCGAGCACGTGCTGAAGCCAAACGTCCGATCGCTCAAACCGCTCCTTTTCCAGAATCTCCCGCGCGTCGAGAGGCAGAGCTGCTTTGCACTCCGTGAGCCACGAGTGGAGGGGGGTGCTGTCATCCCGGGGTGCCACCATGTGGTTCTTGGCCAAAGTCAACGCACTTTCTGGTTCTAGCGCGAGGGAGGAAAGAAAAAGCGCCGCTTGGGTGAAGCTCGCTGTGAAACCGTAGATCCCTTCTACGAGCAGGTCCGTTATGCCTATGCCGCCCAACGACGTCGGCAATGACGCCTGTTCCCAGACACGCTTTTGCTCGGCGCCACACGTTGGCGCGCGGATGTCGCATGAGGTGAGTAAGGTAATGAGTAAGTCCCTTCCCCACTGGCTCCAGGTGGCGCGAGGGAGTAAGTGGAGGGGAGTCGTCCTAATGAGGTAAGCTACACGCCTAGAAATACATCGCGTGAGGAGTAGTCCTGCCACCTGGGGGTCTGCTCGCTCTATCAGCGGTAGTGGCTTAGCCATTCCTTCTAGCTGGCCCGAAAGAAACCCGGCTGCTCCAGTGTCAGTCCCTATGTAGCTACCCAGAAGCCGTACTCCGTCCTTGGAAAAGGGCACCCCGGGCAGAAGTTGAGTCTGCGTGACTGTGGTTGAACTCCACGCCGCGCATTTCTGCGGATTATGCGTCAGGCCCAGCTGCGCTAATTTGGCTGTGAAATGCATGAAAGCCGCTACAGTGCGCGATGGGTCACCTAGGAAGGTGACGTCATCCGCATACGCCAAGCAAAGCACGTCGGGGTGTGCTTCTGCAGTGTCGCGGAGCGTGGGGTGTATCCCTGCTGCAAACAGTAGCGGGCCAAGTGGGTCCCCCTGCCGCACGCCCCGTTCACTGAGCAAGGGTTCACAGTTGAATTTCGAGTCCAGCTGCAGTTGCGACGAGTTATCGTAGGTCAGTTTCACGAACGGCTGCAGTGGCGAGAGTTTGGGGTCGTATAACGCTGTGGCGATGGCATGTCGCGAGATACTGTAACGCTAATGAAGCGGCCGTATCGTGCGAGCAACAAGAAACACGCGGAGGAGCAGATCGCGCGCCGAACACTTGTCGACGAGTTGGTCAGCAGACTAGCACATCAAGAGACAGACGCGGAACACGCTGATACAAGGAACGGAGAAATGAGACAGGTATTTGTTCTTACAGACGATCTTTTAACACATACGTGCGGAAACAATGTTCTAAACCTTTCCGCATATGTTTCTTATCATTGTATTACGATGTCACGGTGTTGAAGTGCGTTTGTGTGTGTATGTGCGCGTATTTATGTGTACGTGCGTGTGTGTGTGTGTGTGCGTGTATCTATCCCTGGGTGTGTGCGTGTGTGTGCGCGCGCGCGTGGATGTGTGTGTTTATTTGTGTGTAGAAGATAGTACTGCACGAGAATGAATGAACTAGGAAGAAGTTGGGTACAAGTAGGAAACCCTAAGTTTGTTGTACCCCCTATGACTAAACCCACTATAGCCTACACAATATATAAACATATAATGTTTGACACACCCCCATAGGCTAAGTGGGAGACAACCAGATGGTCACAAGACCAGTCAAAGCAAAGCAAAACAAGCTCAGGGTGGATCTCAAGGAAACCACACAAATTCTGAGCACAAGCAAGTGGTCACAAGACCAGTTCACATGCAGGTTGATAATATAACAAGAGATACAGTGATCACAACCTAGCAAGAGTAAACATGCAAGTATATATATATAGAGATCACAGTACAAGCAGAGTCAAGAAGTAAGCAAGTGCGGACCAGTAGGCACAAGGCCTAGAACAGTACAGAAGCGCTGATGGTCACAAGGCTGAAGCGCCTTGGCGAACACATCAGCAGTGTTGGCCCGAGTGGCCACGTAACACAGACGAAGCTGACCACGCTGCTGCAGCTCTCGAGCAAGGAAGTAGCGCAGAGCGATATGCTTCGTTCTGTGCTCCAGTCTGTGCTCCTCACACAAGGCAATGGTAGCCTTGTTGTCGACGTACAGCACTGGAGGAGAACGAGGCCGCTCTCCCAAGTCGGTCAGCAGGTAGGTGAGCCAGCGTAACTCCTGTGCAGCCATGGCTGTGGCGTAGATCTCAGCCTCACAACTGGAGCTGAGAACAGAAGACGAGCGTGTAGAACGCCAAGAAACTGAACCAGAGCCAAGGCTGAAGGTGTAACCCTGAGACGACCGCTGAGTAGCCTGGTCGTCAGCCCAAGAAGCGTCTGAGTGCCCAGTGAGTACAACTCGGTCTCGTCCTCCAAGCACTAGCCCCATGCCCGACGTACTGCACAAGTAGCGCAACACCCTCTTAGCGGCATCCATGTGCTCCTTCCGGTGACGACCAGGAGCGACATAGCGTGCAAGGATGCTAAGAGGGTATGCAAGGTCAGGTCGAGTGCAGGTCATCAGGTACATGAGGCAGCCCACAAGCTCTGGATACGGGCCACTCGGCTCTACGGACTCATCCGAAGGCAGAGCTGAGAGCGGGTGACCAGTAGGCAGAGGAGTGGCCTGAGGCGAGGAGTACGTGAAGCGGAAGCGCTGAAGGACCTGCTGCACCATGTGTGACTGAGTCAGTGTGATGGTGCGCCGTGCTCTGTCCCGGGTGATCCGCAAGCCAAGATAGCTTGTCAGTTCACCCAGGTCTGTGCTCGTGTGTCTCTTCTGCAGCTCCGACTTCACGTGGGCGAGTGCCGCAGTGTCAGCAGTGGCAAAGACCAAGTCGTCGACGTACACGAGGATGTAGAACGGCGGCAGTGAAGTGTCGGTGCGTAGAAACAGCGACGGGTCAGCAGTAGAAGGAGCGAACCCAAGAGCCGCAAGTGTAGTCCTCAGTGTGTCGTGCCACTCACGCGGCGCCTGGCGGAGACCGTAGACTGGCCGCCGGAGGCTCCACTGGGTACCAGGAGGGAACGACCCAGTGAAGCCACGTGGGTGGCGCAGCCAGATCTCCTCGTGCAGGCTGCCCTGTAGGAAAGCAGTGCTGAAGTCAAGAGAGTGGAGCTCGTAGTCACGCTGAGCGGCGACGTGCAGCAGAACCCGAAGAGTGTCATCTTCGGGGTCGGGGAGAAGGTCAGGAAGAAGTCAACTCCCTCTCGCTGACTGAAGCCTCGTGCAACGTAACGCGCCTTGAAGACAGGCGGAGAACCCGGCGGCCGCTTCACCCTGAAAATCCACATGCCACTGACAATGTTCGCCCCAGGTGGGGGAACCTCGTCGACGTAGGTGCCTGTGGAGTTCCAAGAAGCCATCTCTGCGTCCATGGCTGTCTGCCACTGAGAGGAGTACTCACCCTCGATCGCCTCAGCGTAAGAGCGCGGGGTCGGGATGTCTGGAGCATCCGGGTCT